TGTGTTTGATGTTGGTTTAATTTGGGGAGGAGAAGGGAAAAAACAAATTTTTTAAATAAGGATACAGGTGGACTCTTGCAACAATGAGATATACAAGGTGTTATGGTGAAAATGAACTTTACAACTTTAGCATGGGGGTGGGGGATGGGGGCAGTGGGGTGGGAAGGATGGGAAGGGATGGGAAGGGGAAACAAAGGAGGAGGCTACAATGCTTGATAAGAAATGTACTCATTACCTTGCCCATGTAATTGTAACCCCTCTGTATGGTATTTTCACACTAAAAAAAAAAAAAAAAGCAATGTACTCTTCACCTGACTTACATACCTGTAACTCCTCTATATATCACCTTCATAATAACATTTTTTAAGAAAGACAACATATGACCAAAGTGGTTTCTCACAAAATTGTCAACCATTCCTGATTTCTTTTTAGTTCTTATGTAATTATTTTAGCTGGGAATTTGTTAAATTAATTACTGGTAAGTTAATGATTATATGACTGAAAATGTCTTCTACATTTGACAGTTTACAGGAAAATTTAGCTTCAAATAATTTACTTGTAATAGAAATATCTAAATGATATATTTATAATGGTTAGCCTTTGAACTCTAATATTTTAGTATGTTTAAATAACCAGAAAGATAATTAAATTGAAAATACTTAAAGATCACAGATAAAAATTGTGAAAAATATGTATCAGTAAACTTTGTTCTGTATTTTTTTCTCAGTGGATATACCAACAGTTACAGAAAAAAATAGAAAAACTAAACTTTACTTAACTCTTCACAGAGAATAACTCCCGATTTCTTAATTCTATGTTGTGTGTGAGCAGAAAATAATCACACCAAGAAAAAAAATGTACTTCTTCCTCTATGATTAACTGCTATTTGTGATGCTTAAATATCATTTAGAGGTACATTACATGGTCCTTCTGCTCTCTGTAACTTAGAATAAAACTACTCTGTTTATCAGAGTGATGAAAATCATAAAGATAAGCCTGTGAGAAATGTGGCCTGTGCTTACAGTGATGACTTGAACAGAAAAAACAAAAGCCTTTACTCTTTAGAACAAGCAAGCTGTAATGAAATGATGGACTAGTTTTCTGTTGTAGTAATTTTAAAAACCCCTTGTCACTGAAAGTGTTATAGGAAATCACATCAGTTATTGTAAAAATCTAGACTTCTTTTCCAATTGATGTCTACTATTCACTTTGAATTGGTAATCTGATAATTATATGTAACTCAATAATTTCACAAAACTAAACTATAGCATTTTCACAAAGAAGAATATTAATGTGATTTTAGATAATAGAAATAACCTTCTGCTTTGTAAAAATTTCAGGATAAATTTTTCACAATGCCTTTAACACTCCATGTGTGCAGCCCTTAATGTGTCTAATTGTGGATGTTGGTTTAATGTTCAATCTTTCTAAGTAGCAAATATGAATGACCATTATAGTCACACTTTTCATTTGTTTTTGAAAATTCTTGAGGTGTTTATGATTTTCTGAGTCAGGACTCAAGAAATGTATTCCTTTTAATTTTCACTAATAAACATGTTTTGCTTCAGAGTTTCAATAAAGTAATTCCTTAGACTGGTGTGAAGTGTAGTGGTAAAGCAATTGCATAGTATACAGTAAGTCCTGGGTTCAATTGCCAGCATTACAAAAAACAAAACAAAACAAAATAAAACCAGAGTTATTTCAGAAAAACCTGGTGGATTCTTGCTACTAATAACCGAAGAAGATGGTGAATATTCTTAATGTACACAATACTTTATGACATTGACAATGAAAATGAGTTTATTTTGGTTTCTTTGTTGCTTCAAAAACTGTGAAGCACTTTACCACTAGCTGCATCTCATGAAGGCACTTTGGAAAGAACTTATCCATTGTGATGGAGGATAGGGAAAGAAAGAGGACTGTGACTCTTAGGCATCTTAAGTCCAGAATCCATTGCAGTGGGAGCTGTGACAGTGGAAATCAATGTGGGGCATAACCTAGGAGATGATTATGGCTCCATATGTTATGAAAAAGGAAAGCCTTAGTCGCTAAGGTTCTTTTTTATATCTGTGGGGGGTGGGTTATGACACGTCATTACAATCTGAGATTTACTTAGTGTTCTGAGAGAAATACAGGCTTATTTTCAAATTCTACTCACTTTATCCACTTCTTTCTCAATTATGTTATATTCACACTGCAACACAAAATATCTTAGGACTTTTCAAGTTTATCTTCTGGGAAGTCCTAACTCAACAACCACTTACTCTGAAGGGCTTGGAATTCTAAAACTGTGTTATTCTCATTTGGCTACAAATAAAAAGCACTTTATAAACACAAACTAAAAAGCATTTTAATACCAGACATTCCTCTTAACTAGGTCATGTGTTGATGGGTGATTATAAATACAATTCAGAAACCAACAGGAAATTGTTGTTACATGTACTGATTTTATAAGAACACAAGGTTTACAAGGATAGTTATTAACTCATAGTGGCTTAAATGTTTAAAATATTTATATCATTTGATCATCTCAGTAGTACTGTGAGATAATAATGATAGATCAAGCTAAATGTTTGATAGAAACAGAATTGGAACCATTGTATCATCTTTACTCATGCTACATGAAATTCACCAAAATTTCACTTAGGAGGAAATGCAATAAATTTAACCCAGAATTACTTTAATTGCCTATGTGGTATAATTCTTTCTGGTTTAGCTGTTGTTCTTTGAATAGAAACTGCATGCAGATGTGAATAGACCATCACATCATTATCACCAGAGAAAACAAGTATATTTAGTTCTTTAGTTTACATATTTCCTTTCAATGGCTATTTACTAAGTACAGACAATGTAATAATGATATCTTTTTTGCCTTGAACACTTTTTCCACTGGTTATGAATATTGAAATTAACAGTCATTTATCTTAGCATGTAAGATGGCACATTCATCATTCAGTACATATTCAATTATTACATACACACACACAATGCTACCTTGACCCACTTAAACACCTAAGGACATTTCCGATAGGGTCTAATGATTAATGAAAGCTGTCAATGCAAATTTCACTATGCAAATTTTTTGTGAAACTCAGAGTAATCAACTGATGAATGTGATATAATCAGCAACTGGAATAAGTATAGTTTTACCACAATGCACATTAGTGACATGTTTTAATTTAAATGTTAGGGAGCATTCTTATGGTTTCCAAATTCTCTTAGTTAAAATTAATATGAAATATAATCTATAATGTTGATTAATAGGTAAAGGTTTTTATTATCACTTTAGAGATTATAATTGCATTATAATTAAACTCACTTTAATTTCTAACGTGATATCCTGGGAAATTATTCAGTTATGGAAATTATATTATGTAATCTATGCATTGGCTATCTTCTCTTATCTAAAGATAATTACTTCTCACTGGAATTAATTTACTCAGAATTTGAAAGTTTTAATTATAAAGAAATTCTATGATAATAGGTTTTTATATTTTCCTCATTTGCAAAACAGTGAATTCAGTTTTTGGAGCTGAATTTTTAAAATTGTAATCATCAGTGCCTTTTTTACAGTCATTCAGTTCATTTACCTTCTAACAATCTAAATAATTATTTTCCTTTTAAAGTTTGGTCATGTTTGAAAATTTAAGATTTTACTATTCATAGGCTGCATTACATATTTTTCATAATATTTTGTGTGATTAATTATTTCTTTATAAATATTGAGATGTTTATAGAAAGGGTGATGATATTATAGATTGGGAAACAGGGAGAAATGTTGTATACTTGTGGATTGTGCTTCATTATTTTATGTGTGAAACTCCTGAAAATGAATCTTACTGCATTTATTGGGCAACTGAGCTAAATTATGTTTTTATACATCTTATATTGGTCAATCATGTACTCATTTTCTCACTGAGAAGATAGATGAGAAAAATCTCTAGTCCCTATTATTTAAACAGATCAGCTAAACAATCAAAGTGATTTGTGAGGACAGTGATCATGGTCAGGTTACTAGCCATGTCTATTTACAAAGTGCTAGACCATAAAAACAAATCTTCAGACTATTGAAAAAGAACAACAACAAAAATGATCTTTTTTCTGTTAATTATATTTGCAACATCCTTTTATTTTAATTCATAATCTATAAGATTGTAGTTCTTTGCTGAAAAATTATTTACCCTTGTCATTAAATATATATTAATATGTTACACATGCATGCCATATTTTCTTTTTTGTTTATAAATGCTGATAGGGAATTGGATATTTAAAAATAACTAGAACATAGTTGAAAATAAAATCATTAAAACTTTAACCTTAAGACAAGGCTTTCCACATTTGGTCATGTAAAACATTATTTTCCTTTGCTGTTCCTCAAACATTTTTAGACATGTTATTTATTGCATATAAGTAAGGGGAAAAAAAACAAAGGAGGTGGTAACCATGCTTGATAGAAATGGACTCATTACCTTGTTCATGTAACTATAACCCCTCTGTACAGTATTTTTATAATAATATATAATAAAAATACATTGCAAAGCAATATTTTTAATTTAACCAGTAACTATGAAGATGACATATACAAATAGAAATGCTGATTTAATTATGTAAACATATTGAAAACCTTACTCAACTATGTAAATTTATCAAGTTGTCTACAGGTATTTTGCCATGTTAGCATTACTATGTTCCTTGCTTTCATTTTCGTTGTGTTTTTTGTTTCTTTGTTTTTAAAGATATAGTTATCCTGTCAGGATGCATCAGTATTTGACTAGTAACTTACTTTTATAAACAAATAAATAAAAAAATTCCTCTACAACCCTCCCTTTCGCTTGTTTGTTTTTGTAAAACTCTTCCTATACTTTACATACACATTGACCACAAAGAATAAATGACATGTTGATGTACCAATGGTGTTTTCAATAACAGATTCCATTAACAGAAAATAGTAGAAGTAATTCATAGTCTAACTGTGCTTGTGTATTTGTGTTTTCTTTTAGTCAATCTACTAGATTCAAAAACAATACAAGGCGAGCTGGGCTGGATCTCTTATCCACCTCATGGGGTGAGTTTATCAAACTATTTCAAGTATTGTGATTCTTTCATACTGCTCTTTTAAAGAACAGAAAGATGCTTTGCTGTATTCTTTGAAGGAAAGAAATTATGTTTATATTTATAATGATATTAGGTATGGGATTAGCAGGGCTTAATATTTATGTTCTATTAAACTATTGGAAATTTCAAAGTGATTCTCTCCTAAATTTATCAATTGCTGGAATTGAATAATTACATAGTTAATTATTATTGGTAAAATATTATTGCCATATAATCATTTTCAAGTATAATCATCTACTATTTCTTGTGCTGTGATCAGAATAACTGAATTGATAAGGCATTGTAAATTTTATGTTATATAAAATGTTTGTATTTGGTAATGCTAGTGTCCAAACTCATGGCCTTAAAATCAACCATAATGACCATTTTACTTAAAGCATACATATATTTAATCAACAATATAAACCCGTGCTATCTTACTTGTTTTAATCTTTATAACTTTTCTAGATTGCCTTAAACTTAGGAATTTATTTAAAAGATAAAGCTGGGAACATTCCAATTTCAAACTTTTTGTAACTTTGATACTTTACTAAGCTAGGAACACATTGTCAGGGTTTATAGTACATTGGTCTTTCAAATGTTCATCATAACTCTATTGTGTGAAAATATTTTTCCAGAAAAAGTGAGTCATGAATTTGTGAAGTTATTTTGAAATATTTTTCATAGGAGCAAACATATGCATTCTCTTCTTCTACAATAATCTTTTTATAATGTTAATAGTTATTTGCACTTAGTAAAGGTATCCAGTCTTGAGATATTTGTACCTGAACACACTAATTTATGCAGCACTATCAGCTTCTTCTTCCCAAACAGATGTTTTGTGTCAGGGATACTTCATCTGTCTGTCATCTCTGTATCTGTTTCTCTTCCTGACACACCTTGACATTGACAAAATGCCAAAACTTTTAACAGGGCCTCCATCAGTTGCTTTGGAAGGGAGAGAATGAAGCAAGCCAGGAATTGATTTTCCCATAGGTGTAAAAAGGAATCAAGTGATTGGGGAAAATGCACATCCTGCATTGTCATAAAGAGTGAACCAGAAGTCAAGACTGTGCTGGAAAACTCATTTAAAACTAATCAGCCCAAAGTCAAATGCAATCTTAATTTTGATCTTAGGAATTTGAGTTCTTCATTACTCTATCTGATGATACACCATGAAAACTACTGCTTAAAGATAGGAGAAAATTAAAATGGAGTGACAATTTTATTAATAGATACCTAGACATATCTCCATATAATACACTTATTTCTATACCACAGCGATTGTCTGCTCTGTTTTCTTTTAAAATATAAGAAGAATTGGGCAAATGGATTCTCTCATTTTTAATCTCATAGTTAATTTTTTGATAAATTCCTATAATTTGTAACAAAATAAGGTTGGAGTTCTAAAGCCAGAATTTCTTGGGGTGCAGATTATGGGGTGTATAGTATCTTGCTATCTATGTGCCTACTGAATACCTCAATACCCCAGCATTTCTGTATGATTGATGTCAAGCAACTCAGAAACACATTAAATTTGAGAAACACTGCAGTGTAATTTCTTAACTTCTTTTAGCCTAGGAATCTTTCAGAGTTTCCTCAAGCCATGATTTTTCAATTTCTTCTCTTTGTGATGGTTTAGAGAGCTTTTTTCTGGCATTTGGCTTTCTCTTCATTGTTTTCCTCTGCTCATCTTACAGCTGTGTTGTCCCAATTTCTAATGCATAAAATTGCCTAAAAGAGCTGGTCTATTTGTCCAAATTCGTCATGTAACTTTCATGGGAAAAATTCTACCAGCAGGTCATTTTTCAAAACCTCAAAACTAAAACAAAGAAAGGAAGAAAGCAAAAGAAAGAAAAGGAAAGGAAAGGAAGGAAGGAAGGAAGGAAGAAAAAAAGGAAAATAAAAAATTTGAGTTATTGTCCTATGGTAATATAGAGTGTATTGGCTATGAAATTTCTTGCACATATTATGTTACCTACAATGTCACAAGAAAATAATGGTATAGATTTAGTAAATGTTCCATGAATATCCATTCCCTTTTGTTAAAGTAATGAAATTATTGGGTAAAAACACTACAGGAAAAATTAAATTTGGGAATTGACATCCTTGATGTATGATTATTTGTGCCTTGAAATTCAATTATTTTTTTTCCCTTTGTCTGTTTGGTGATTGGGTCCAGGCTAGATTTGAACTTGCTATACTCCTGTCTCAGACTTCCAAGTGATAGTATTACAGGTGTGTAGCATCATTCTTGGCACAGTTATTTTTATTGCCTAATCTTTTCTACTTTCTATATATGAGTACAATCATTTTATGTCTGTTTTGTTCATAAAGAAAATGATGCTAAACATTTATGATACTGAAATTTGCTGAAATATTAGTCATAAAAATCTCATTTAGTAGCTGGAAAAAACTTTGAGCATCTTGTTAATTAATGGGCCTTAATGAAAACAGGGCATCTAATTATTGAGTTGTTAAAATGTAGAAGTAAACTTTAGAGGAAAAGCAAAACTAGACAGGAATGTGGGGGAAAATAATCCCTACTGCACTATTGATGGGAATGTAACTAGTACAATCATCCTGGACAGCAATTTGGAGGTTCCTTGGAAAGCTAAACACAAACCTTCCCTACAAACCAGCCATTAAATTCTTGTGCATCTATCCTGAACATCATCAGCCAGGATATGATAATGACACCTGCACATCCATGTTTATTGCTGCACTATACACAATAACTCAATATAGGAAACTGCCCAGATGCCCCATAAGAGATGAGATTTCCAAAAATGTGGTACCTATACAAAATGGAATTTTCCACAGCCATTAGAAAGACTAATGTCATTTGCAGGGAAATGGATGGAACTAGAACAAATCATGTTAAGTGAGGTAAGGCAAACTCAACAGCACATGTTCTCTCTGATATGTGGAAATTAGATCTAAAATGCACTGGGATACGTCAAATTATACTGTATTGTGGTTTCTCACACACAGTGAGACCAAAAGAGGATACTCTTAAGAGAGAAACATAAAGGTGCAATGCCTAAGTGACTCTTCATATATATATATATATATACACACTGAAACTCCAACATATGGAAACAATAGACATTTTTCCTTTTCTTTCTTTCCTTTGTTTTTATTTCTTTTTAGTTTTTGATGATTCTGTTCTTTTTTTTTTTTTTTTACATGTTTGGGGCATTTAAGTGTAGATCTTCAGAAAAGTGGGAGGGGCACAGAACTTGAGGGAAAAATGGTGAAAAGTGAAGCTCATTGGATTTAAGTGTTCAGTACAACTCATGTGTGAAGATGGTAGGGAGGGACTGGGAGAGAATGAGGAAACAGAAGACATTGTATGAAAGGAAATGCACTTATTACCTGACTCATGTAATCATAATCCCTCTGTACATCACCTCTATAATAACAATAAAATAAATTAATAAAAAACTACAGTGTCGTATTGATTCATGTAACATTTTGCTTTTTTGCTATAAAGTAGAGGTCAGTGTAATGAAGAGAAGAGAGGGAGATGGTTTTGGTTGAGTCTCATTGGAGACATTTAGCAATGTCAACAGACACTGTCACAAGAGCAGGCAGGTGGCCCCTAGTGGGAAAGGCTAGGATACAGGTAATTATCTTACAATGAAAATGAAAGCCATTATAATAGAATTCTCAGGTTGAAAATGGCAGTGTTGAGACTGGGAGTCCCATAGGTAGGAGACTGGGGATGGCGCTGGCTTCAGGAACTGTGTGTGGCAACAACAGAGGAACTACCAGCCGCTACCTGATTTCCAGTCCTATTTCAGTCAGAAGCTATACATTCCAGATGTACTAAAACTGACAGATCAAAGCAAAATTTATTTCACATTTGAAATGAATAATTCTTGGAATAATTGCACTTTTTGTAGGAAATATTGACAAGCGTGGCATATTCTTCATGTATTTCTGTTTCTGTTTCTTCTCTCTCCTTTTCTCACAGATATATTAATAGTAAATTTGCCAATTAACCTATGATGGTAGGGCTTGAGCTCTGGGCCTGGGCTCTGTCCCTGCACTCTTCAGCTCAATGTGAGTGCTCTACCACTTGAACCGCAGTGGCACTTTAAGTTTTCTCGTAGTTTATTGGAGATAAGAGTCTCACAGACTTTCCTGCCTGGGCTGGCTTTGAACTGTGATCCTCAGATCTCAGCCTCCTGAGTAGCTAGGATTACAGGTGTGAGACACTGGCACCCAGCAAACCTATGCTTTTTTGATATGAGGAATGTATCTAAGTCCATTTTTAATGTTTTCAAACTTTAGGGAAAACCTGGTAAGAATTTATACTATCATGGTAGGCCTGAAACAAATTTTTAAATACTCTTAAAGAAACTGTAATGAAACTTGGATTTTTTTTAAAATGAAGGTCACAAAGCTAATAGTCAAGTATGGAAACTGGGATTTTTTCAGAGTTCATGAATTACAATTTATTTTTCAAAAAACAATGTTTTGACACACTTTCTAGGCTGACGTTCACTTTTGTAATGCAGACATGAGCAATTCATGAGTCCAAGAGTCAATAAATTATATTTCAATCTTGGACCTAATTAAGTTCAGGAAGTCTGGTAAGTGATTCAATACCTTTAATTTGATTTGATTTAAAGATAGAGCAACACATGTAAAAGTATGTAACTATTTTTGAATTACAAACTAGAAAGAAACATTTGGTTTACACACAAATAAGTATTTGAATTGATTGCTTGATAAGGATAATATAACAAATTATCTTCCTTAGTATTAGTATCACTGTAGAGAAAACATCCCAGGAAGTAGAGTTGAATAGAGTTATTTAGGAAAGTGTGTATATACTGAGCAAATGAATCAACTAAAGACACTAAAATAAACAGAAGAGACTGATGACAAATAGGGTCCAGGCAGGTGCGAAAAGCCCAGTCTGAAAGAAGTAAGGTACATTTGTGATGAAAGAAAAAGTAT